GGAGTATTGGAAAAAGGAAGCTTGAAAACTTAAATTACCAATAATAAATCCATCAACTTCATGTACACAACATGTGCTCCGTGATCTGGATTCTAAAGATCAAACCATTCTACTAACAGAAATCCGAGAGGAAAAGTTAGCGAATCTGAATTTGTACACAAAACAAAAAAAAGAAAGGATATAGCTGTACAATAACTATTTACTGCCATGGTTTCAGATTCTAAACAGGACATACGTACATATGCAATTTCAAAGCACGACAAATGCAGTTTTATGTTCTTTCATCATCGCCTTCTTCTGTTTTGAAAACAGTGGGCAGCCATTATACACTAAAAGTAAGATGCTCCAATCTGTTTTTTAATGGAATGCTTTATTGAATTTATTCATTCAAATTATTCAATTTTTTTCTGCAAGAAGTGCCTCTTAAAGTGTCCTAGTCACTTTCAAGAGAAACATGTAAGGGACAGATTTCTGCATTTTATATAAGGCACCTGATTGGTTCAGACCGTAATAACAAATCGTTCTATTCGCTCTCACTGACCTATCTCACCACAGTTGCTGTTGCGTGGCACAGCAGTATTTGATGTTGACAAATACAGGGTGTCCGCGGGGTCTTAAAAAGTATTAAAAGTTGATGAATAAATTTAGCGAAAATTAAGGCTATTAAAAAGTATTAAACAGCATTTTCCATTTTGTAGCTTGTTTTCAATAAGTATGTCAATTGTCCAAAGAGGTTGTATTCTACAGTCTGACTGAATGTAATTATTGCGTAGGTGTGTAGTGTGATTCTGTGTAGTTTATTTATGGCATCCCGTTGGATTTGACGTCATCTGAACAGGACATCGCACGCTCAATGCTTGATAGCGCGCGAAGGTCCGTTTACGCCGGTTGTTAAACAACATCGTTATGGGGAAATGCAAGTCTGCGTCCAAATGGTTGGAAGATAAGGAGGAAGGACAATCATTACTGTATATAGAAAATGTGTCGCCAATGTAACCGGTTAAAACTCGAAGTGGCAATGAGGTCTTAAAATGTATGGCAAAGGTCTTAAAAAAGGTCTTAAAAGGTATTCATTTGACTTGCATATACCCTGAAATAACACAGTGTAGACGGATCATGTTGTTCTTCCACTTGTTTTGCAATGTTGCTAAATTAAAGGGTTTTCTGACTTAGTAAAGATTCCTTTGACACTTTGTGTCCTTTTGCAAATCTCACATATTTCTTAGAGCAGCTTTGCTATTTTAATGTGTTTCATGTGTTCTTAGCATTAAGGATAACTGGCAGCTACGTGGCTGTCCTATCTTAACTCATTGTTACCCAGTCTTGCTTTTTTGCCCTAAAGCAAGGCAATTAACCCTGCCAAGGGTAGTAAGATAGCTCCGGCTGCTCGTGGTTAGGAAAGATATCACAAGTACAAAAGAGTGTGTGAAGTTAATTAAACTTTTTGGTTTCCAATAGAGGTGTAATAAATATCTGATCTCAATCAGGGATTCGGGTCAAGCGTCTACAATAGAGCAGCAAAGATACATGCATTGACTGTTTCTCTATCCTGACCGGGCATTGATGAGCGTTTCAGTGACAGTTTCTGTGTAACTTAACCTGAATCTTGTTTCTCCTGTTGTCTCTTAGATATATATATTTGTGCACGCTTTATACCGAGTAATCATAGAATTCTTGCTGCATATCAATGCGGTAGCCTCCTTTTTTCCTCCTTTGTTCAAGTTTGGTTCAGTGCCAGTCTAGAGAATATGTTCTGTCCTTTTAGAGCCTTGTCTGTTAGATGAGATTTGCGAACAATGAAACAAAACAAAAAACAATGGTATGCCTGTTGTAAACACAGATTAATATATTGAGGTCCAAGTGAACAAATAGGAATACTAATTTAGTCTGATATGAAAGCAATGATGTTGCAAAGAAAAAAAAAATACACACTGGATACTAACATAATGTAAAAGTGAGTAGGTGAAAGTAAGTCCTTTACAGATAGTGGAGCTAATAAAGTTAGTTGATATGATAATATCATTATTATTATATTAAGTGATTTATTGCATATAATAAAGCTGATTATATGTGTGCTTTATCTTTATATCATATCAAATCATTGACTGAGAGGTGAATTGAATTGTGACAAATGATTGCACGTCTAAGGGTATCCATCAGTGTAATTTATCTTGGGCCATGTAAAGAGCTGGGAAAGAAACTGGAGACCGAGCACGCTCCTGGTAGCCAAATCACTACATGCAAATGTGTCCTTGGTGGAGGCTCCCATTGCCATTTCCAGAGAGCTGGTAGAGCCATGGCAAAAATTGAGGGAGGGCAAAAGAGAGAGAGGAAGGGAGGGAGGGAGGGAGGGAGATGGATGTCACCCTTGCTCTCATATGTCATATTGTTAACCATAGATATGAGGAGAACGCCTCAAGGTTGAACGTGCAGCTGAGACATAAATAATCTATCAGAGGTTTCCTCCAACTAAATAGAGGGAAATATGTCTGCATGGATTATTTATGGTTTAATATGCACTCGGTGAATGGACAATCACCTCTGAGAGCATGAAGACATTGTAGGGGCCAAGTTAATTGTGTGTGTCTGGAAATGCATGCAAGCTAGGTGTGTGAAAGGCAGTGGTTGTCGAGCTGTTAAGCTTGGTTACACAAAGGGTCTATATTTTGTGGCTTGATGATGGATTACAATAACGGCATGTTACTGTTGCAAAGTGTATTCAGGTTTGTTTTATTTATGTACAAGTTTTTGTCCGTATCATCGATCTTTTGTGCTTTGACATGTTGTTTGTATTTTCTCTCTTAAATCTCGAGCCACTCGTGTGTGAACGCAGGCACACACACGCAAATGCTTCTCACTTCGTGCAGATGAATTCTTTCATCCCACACCACTTAAATGGAGTCCATCTCAAAGTGGTCTGGTCTCCGCTTTCCAGCTCACCTTATTTCCTCTTCAGATGACTGCCTCGACATGGGAAATGTCAGGCTCTCATTGCCAGCACTGTGTGGCTTCTTCAAACATTTGTGAAGTGTTAAGCTCATCGCTTCAGCTTAGTGTGGCAGTCTCCCAGGAATCTGGGCTGCTGACCCGCAACACAGCAAAGACAGCCCACCAAAATGCACTCAAGCACATCCACTCTGCCTGCTCATTTGCGTCAATGAAAGATTGTATTAGTCCGAGGTTTATGGTTTTCACGGCAGCACACTCACCATACTGTAAAGATCCATGCATCACATAATGGGGTTGATGGGGTGGCTTTACAGCTCTAAACAGTCATGTTGTTTTTTCTCATTTAGTTGAGAATGACAGTGGATAACTAAGAATTACTAAGCCTAACGACTCTTAGACGTTACCTTTATATGAATCCTAATGGGATATTTTCAAGCTAGCATTAACATATCCTATAGAAGTCCACCTCTTGACTTTGGTTTCAGATTTCTTACAGGAAGACACATTACACATAATACAAAACCCACATTCAATATATGTGGAGAAAGACTCATCATAGGTATTCAAGGTAAATCATCAACATTTAGTAGGGGAGGTGAAACGTGACTTGCTGAAATGGAATGGATCTAATTGCTAAATTTAAGGCGACGTTTTAGCTCAAATATTGTTATTTTCCACTTGTGCTATGGACCATTGGGCTATACAAACATCAACAATGCCAATGAAGCTCCAATGAATAGACTTCCCTAATTCCTCATAACAAAGAAAACTGCCTCAGTTATATAGCAGTTTGTTTATTTTAGCAAACAAACAATTGTTGCAATGCAAAGAGAAATCGGTAGTGTGGTTTCTGTCTGCAGTCTTCTGGTTTGGCTCCACAAACAGAGATGCACATATCTCAAAACCAATATGCAAATTGATGTTGCATTTCTTTAGAAATCTGTTCAAGCAACATTCAGATTTTACTTGAGATTTTACTTTGCAGTCTTGGGTTTTAAAAACCTGTAATGTGTTAGGGCCACTCTTCTTTAACCTATATAAGGATTTTGGAAAGCAGCATACTGAAATGTGTCAAGTATAATTTGCAAATCATCTGTTTGCGTGGCCACAGCATTGCAAAACATTATACACAGTGTTTAATAACGGTACACCAGTTAGTTGTAACTGACTACTCACTGTACATAACAATATCTAATGTGTCAATGAAACAAGTGACTAGTCACACCAATTTCATTTGTACCGTCCCTGTTAAGACCGCATTTCTTTGTGTTCTGTTGGTTTCATCACACCCGGCCAATGGAAAAAATCCATTTATGGGACAACAGATGCTCCATTTCTTTTCTCTATTTTTCACTTCACGCCCAAGAGGGGAAAAAAATGGGCTCGTCTTTTATTATTATAATTTTTTTAACCAAGTTCTGGATCTGTTTGACTCAGGCATGAACACTCCCATAATCAGCCAGAGTGTGCATCCCTCTGAATAGAGATGAAAGAGGAGAGAACACACTCAAACGTATACACTCCAGCGCATGCACATAACAACAACAAGGAGCACACAAATAAACAGGCACAAACACACAGGCAGGAAGCACAAGCCATTTGGCACAGCCTCTCTGTCTAGGGAGGGCTTCAAAGCCCACTGACATGAATTTATGATAACGGCACTATGCCTTTGCCAAACCTCAACTGTTGTTGTTTTTCTCTCGCTCCCTCCCCAACCCTTCTATATGCTCTGCCATCCCCTTGATCAGAGCTTTGGAAAATGCCAGCAGGTGTCCCCCAGTCCCTTGGAAAGATGTGTGCACATGAGCACGCAAACATGTGTGTTTGGAATAGGACATCCTTAGCTGACTCTTTCCTCATTATATTTGGTTTGACTAACTAACTAACTAACCCTAACCCTCCTCTTAACTTTGGCCCTTTGTACAGTTTAGTCTCATGATCGTTCTATGATTATATAACCCTAATGTTTTTCTTGATTTCTACGCACAATTCTAACATAAACATCACTTTGTTCTTCTTCCATCCTCTTCCCTTTCTTCTGTCTGCAGATGAGGACTGTGTGAATTGTACAGAAGAGTGCCGGGTACTGGGCCATTCGGACCGTTGCTGGATGCCCCAGTTCCCCGCTGGAGGAAACCAGGCCGAGGGAGTCGACTACCGCAACAATATGTTCGTGCCGGCAGGGATGGAGACTGTGCCTGAGGCAGAGACCTACGAGACTGTCAACCCCAATGGCAAGAAGACGTTCTGTACATTTGGAAAAGAAAGGCGTGACCACACCATCCTAGTGGCCAACGTTAAGCCCTACTTGAAGGCAAAACGCGCCCTAAGTCCACTGCTCCAAGAGGTACCCTCAGCCTCTGGTAGTCCTACCAAGAGCTGCTCAACCATGTCTCCCTGCAATTCAGTCAAAAGCCCAGCTGACGGAGCTGAAGGCAAACCTCCCCCTGCCACCTGCTCAGGCCATTACGGGCCTCCTGATGGTCAGTACCTGTCACCAACAAAACAAAGCAGAGACCAGGGGGTCTACCCACCATTGCCTCCCATGGACCCAGTGGCCAAGGTGCTTGCAGAAGCCCGCTCTAGGATCAGCCAAGAGGCAACAGGGGAAATGGAGTGTGTGCTGGAGCAGGTGGAGCCTGACGCAAGCCGTGACAGAATGGACGCTGACCAGGTGGTCAGAGACATCGACAAACTATTGCAGGACTGCAGAGGAAGTGAGGCCACAGGCACACTCAGGAAGTGACACAAAGGACTGCAACAAAATATGTATGAAGGTAGAGAGAGGAATATACTGCTATTTCAAAAACTCTCATGCCAAAACTGTCACCAAAACAAATCAAAAAGGTTAATGGGCTCTTATCATAGGAGCTCTTTTCTCTGTATTGGTTGTTGAAAATACTGACACTTAACAGACAATGGGAACATTTATTCATTTGGCACCCGTTTTGGGGCTAAGATTGCTACCAACAAAAAGGAACTGGGTAACATCTGAATTCTGATGAATTTATAAACTCTTTTTGTTTTGGATTCTTAAGCAAAATGCAGAGACTTATGCCTCTGGCACCTCGCAAGCTATTATCTAAGTGCCCACCAGCTCATATGTGTGTTGTTCATGGTCTCTTGTGAAATCCTACATATCTAAGTGTGTGTAGGTGGATTTCTGTTATGTATATTGGCCATAGAAACGGAATGAAAAAAAAGGACTATTTATGGTCAGACATGACAATCGATGCGGAAACAGTGAAAGAAATTCTGATCCATTTGGGACAGTGAAAGGCCGAAATACACAAAACAACCTTATCTTTCTTGACTTTAATATAGGTGTTTAGTGTCTGATGGATCCTGTATTTGAACATGAAGATATTGGTTAATCAGGTGTGTGATCACAGTCGTCAGTTAAGGACTTGGGGACGAGGGGCTTAATTGCTACGCTGAAGGAGAATTATTAACAGTGTAACCATGTTTCACCTGTCATTGTAGTCACATGTGTAAGCTGTGTCTGTCTCACGCCTCTATTTAAACATTCATGTTGCTCACTGGTGTAGTTGCATGCACCAATTTACACACATCTTACACATGTACACTACACTATGCGCATACACATGCACATGCACTGATGACCCTACAAACACATACACACTAATGCTTACACACAACTGGCCATCTGTGTAATTGTCTTATACATGAACATCATCAGCTTTCTGTCCCTTGTGTACAGTGATTTATCATGTGTGTGACTATGCCTTAAGGCAATCACAAGTTGTATAAAAAGGGACATTTTTTCCTTAACTGTGAAAAGATGATATCTATATGATCATATAGATAACTAAATGTATGAATCCATGTATAGTGTCCAAATATTAACAAAATATTTATACATTTTATAAGAAAAAAAAGGAAATGAGGAATCTCAGCAAAAAGTGTCCTTGAGTTAGGGTCAAGTGAGGGGTATCAACTCAAAGAACTGCAAAGGACACTGCCATTGTTTCGAAGACAAATATCCAAAAATAAAAATAAACAAGAAAATGTCCCTTCACATTATCACTATACATAATATCATTATATGTGTAAATGTACCCAATTTAGATGTGTTTACATCAAAACATATTTTTATTGATTTTCCTGCAATTTCTGTGCATTTGAGCCAAATTGTTATGTGTACAAAAGCTATATTGTGTATTTTATTAAATTAATATATAGTTGTGTTGCAATATACATGGGCTTATATTGTATTTGGCAAACGTTGCCTTAGTAGCTGTCGAACTCTGTGAGTTTGCTTTAGTTTGGGTTTTTCGTTGATGTTTTGTTTCCTCTCTATTCTGCGTCTTTGCAGGCTGGCTTCAGTGCTTTTGAGATGTCGCCTCTTTTTACCCGACGGTCCAGTTGGATCAAAATTAATAACTGTTGAAAGCTTAATGAGCCAGCTGATAAAGAATACAATTCAAACCAACAACAAAAAGCAACAACCACAAGATAACAGTTTAAATATTTTTACTGAGCAGATTTTTACAGGGCAGCTATTTTCTTTAACAATAACTAGTATGCGTATCTTGTGTTCATTATGTTTTTACTTTCTTTCCAAAAAAGAAACCTGCCATATGGAAAGTGGAGTGGTTTCCTTGGTGATCATAAAACTGCCTTACTGTCTCTGCGGAGAGCTTGTTGTATCTGTGGAGCTTGTGACTGCTTATAAAGCCCTGGTCAACCAGAATGTGCATTTTCTATGAAGGACCAAAAGAGGTTCTTTTTCAGCAGTCTGTGTTGTTTATGTATGTACTCCTTCTCGATACATGTTAGAATTCTCATACTTTGCAGAGAAACTTGACATCTGAAATTCTATCTGAAGTTACTTTGGATTTGATGTCTTAGCTGTTTAGGTACACGGTTTATATAACCAAGTGTCTTCACATTCAGGCTTTCTTAAAAAAATGATACAGACATTTATTTTTGAAAATTTTGGCACATTTCGGCCACTCTCTGAAATAAGGGAGGTGCTTTTTCTAATATACTCTGATAGTAGAATAAGCAGAACAGTAGGCTATTAGACTATGTGTGTTTTGGGAAATATGACCACCTTCACCAAATCTATGTAAGATGAAGCTGTGAGAGGGAACAGTGACTTGCGTTCATAAGGCTCCTGATGTGTTTAATGTAAAGACAGATATAAGACATGTTATCCTCCACCCATATCACTTATGACTATTTTTGTATTTCTGTTCCTACTTCTATTTCTTAATCGAGTTACATGTTTGGACATCCTCCTATCATTTTGCCATTTTTCTGTCTCTTTTGTGTACTTGTTATCTTCTTTCACTATTCATTTGCTTACTTTCCTTGTCTTCAGCTGTTTGCTTTCTCGCCTCTGAGAGCAAAGCAACTGTAAGCTCTTCTCCTCTCTTTTTTCTGTGAAGGTTTTGGTTTTGGAGATGGCAGAGGCTGTTTTTAGAGAGGGCTCGGAAGATTTGACAGAGGAGAAAATTATGTATGGTTATTTTTAAATTAGATTTTATTTGTAATCTCTCGCAAGTATCTGGATAAATCAAGCAAGCCTGACATTCACATTATAAAAACATTTAAAAAATGTGCCGTTAAAAATGTGCACTGCAACTGTGATGTTGACAAAAATACACGTTACACGTGTGCGCAATCACACAGCACGATACACACAGACAGGCACCTCAGCAGCACACTGCCTTCAATTAAAATGCATAGGCCCTTAAAGGTAAGATGAAGGCTGAAAGAGAGGGCAAATCACTACCCAGACTAATGTGAAACACCTGCCTTCATGCTTTCTTTTCTTTTCAGCCCATTGTTCTCAGTCCTCATGCTGGATCAAGCAGTTTATACCTGTGCTTGATTCGCTTCCATGGCCCTTATTGTTTGACAAAACAATTCATTTTTTCTTATTTTATTTCTTTAACCTGTGTCCTATAGCTTCAATTTTCACTCACACAGAATCTAGATTGCTGTGGTCTCTTTTTTATTTGGACATTAAATTAAAGTGAGGGGTCACCCCACAACTTGTCTGTTGCTCTGCCTGCTAGAAACAGTCACTGTCATACATCATGCACATTTAAGTACTGTCCCCTCGAATGGTGTTCCCCTTGGCCTGGCCCCAGTCTGTACACTCACAAACTGAGCTAGGTCAAGTGGATGGAAGGTATTCTTTAAAGCCATGGCCCCTATCTCAGGCTATATTCTGTCTTTTAAAGCAGAGGCTGCTGTTGCTGAGGTCTACACATAGTTTGAGATTGAGCAAGGCCTCTCATTGTTTAATTACACACTGTTGGCGCCATACACTGTTGGCAGTGCATTACTCAAATCTGGAGTGGGTTGTTTTTGCCCACTTGAGACTTGTGGTCTTATTGAGTGATTAAGACAGGGCCTTGTTGAATGTGGCTAACCGCCTCTGGACTCACTGATGCCGGTGCACCAGTCAACCACTGCTTCACACATGTAGTGACAACATGCCATTTTGGTTAGTTAAAACAAGCACCCAATGTTTGTCAGTGTTGTTCCCTCACCCCCAAGCCCACACAGATAGCATAGGGCTCCACGCTACGATGGGCAACTGGTGAAAAGACCAGAGACATTCATTTGTATGGATTACTTCAACTGCTATTGTCTAAAGGCTGTGTTTATTGTGATCTATCTGAAAAAAAAATACATGAAAAGATCAAATAAAAAAGCAATTACTAATAATGTTTGCTCTTGTCCTTGTATGAGTTTGTTAAAGAATTGCTAGTCATGGCTTTGATTTAATTTCTCTCCTCAAGAGATAACCTCGATCACCCGATATTTTTGTTCTCTCGAGTATACCAGGCCTTGTCAAATAGAATTTCAATGTTTACTTACATAGTGCCAGCTTAGGTAAGATAACAAATTATTGAAATTGGCTTTTCCAATTGCATTTTTCGGTTTTAAATGCTCATATGCATTCAGCTCCTACCCAAGCCTACACACTTAAAATGTTGCTTCTGGAAAATGATCCTTTATTCATTAAATTAGTTCACATTTTCGACACACAAAATATATTACATATACTGTTTTATTTGTTTTTCTTCTAATTGCTCGGAGGCAAATCAATTTGGTGCTTGAAATGGTGTGTACTAATGCTTCTCAGATAAGATGTTGCACTCTAACCGTCAGCTAGATTTTCATTCAGAGGCCAATTTGAAGTCTTTTCAACACTACGCTGTGGTAAGAGAGATGTACTTTATGCGTTCCATTTACTAAGTGAAATATGGTTTGCTTAATTCATAATTAATGGCTGTTAGGTGTTAGATGCTCAGAGTGGGAAATGCAGTAGCAGATGTGACCTCGCTCTTGGTCTTTAGTTCCCCAAGAATAGCAGTTAAGAAACTTTTCTTAACTGCACTGTCCTTTTTCAGTGTATTCAATGTCCCTTTTCAGTGTTTTCCAATACAAAATGATGAACCTTGGCCCAAATGATACAGCATTTCATGTGTTGCATGGATATATTCCATCATCACTGTTTAATTGCAGAATTACATTACACATGTCATGTGCTCTTGTGATTCCACACATCAATCGACATACTGCTGTTTTAAAGTTTAATTTCCCAGACTACACTCTTACTAAAGACTCATTGAGGACTATCACATCCTTATTACACAACTATTTCCCATAACCTGCAAGTGGATATGTCACTGACCTTGACATCATTCAATATTAAGAGACTTTAAAAAAGGAAATCCGAACTAAAATAATCTTGGTAAATATCCAGTGTGTTGTGTGTTGTCTCCAGATCCAGCTTCTAACAACTGTTTTTTCTTTTTAAATCAACTGGGATTATAGTTGACATAGTCCATATTGATACAACATTTTAGTGCCAAGAAGAACTCACTTCTAATACATCAAGATACATTATTGGTATAATGATTTGAAGAGGACCAAATTAATTCTCAGGGAATGTTATACCCAAATACTGGATTTGCAGGCCATTGGTATGCTCCAAGGCCTTTTTTCTGTTGGTATCTAACTAGTCGCCTCAAGGCAGATATTATTTAAAAACATAGCATAGGTAGTTGTATAACAATTATTATACCAATCAGTGAGCGATACACAGTAAGGGGGCGGGGCGAGTATCTGAGGATTTCATCGGAGGATGGACTGGTGGTTCCTCGATTATCGCTCCTCCATTATCGCTACTCGGTCCTCCGGCAGAAATAAGAGCCATGGGACGGTACTCAAGATGGCGCAGACAAATCAACTTCCGGTGAGACCGAGGACCGAGGAGCGAGGAAATGAAAATATTCGACCTGAGACAGGGCCCGGGTAGTGACACTACCCGATCCGTCCCCCTATGACTGTTTGACAGGGAGAGTGTGTGTCAGGTTCCGTAACAGAGATTTGAGAGGCGCTGAGGTTGGAAATATGAATGTACATTTTACAACAGGAATAGTCACGGCTTTGATTTGATGCCAAAAAAAAGCCCCCACAAACACAGAAGGTATCCAAGGCCACTGTGCCTCGTTAGGTGTTTAAGAGAATCGCTTTTCATCAGACACAACAAGAAATTATGGCAAAAGCAATTATGGCAAACAACGTCACCTGCCTAAATAACAATGCAAGGCACTATGAATGTACCATGGTGATAAGAGCTTTTGTGACGCTCTTTATACAAGTAGACTCTATTGAAGGAGAGCCATCCTTTAGCTTGTATCATCTGTTTGTATATTGCATGCTTTCCAGCTAAACTTGTCAACTATGAACACAAAAATAGATCTAGCAAGAGAACAAAATGAAGACGCAAACCCATTTTTATAATGTGTTTAACACATTTTCTTAATTCAAGAAATTGCTGTGACTCATCCAATGCCTCAGACTGCCGGTTCCATTTGAAATGTAAGCCCTATTGCAGTCACCTCCAAGAGAAGCTGTGTGTTAAGTGTTTCCCACCTGAAGCAGACTAGAAATTGCAAAATAATGGCTCAAGACAGCTTCTGTGAAGAAACCGGCTCACATCAGTGAGGAAAAAATTGCTTGATGAAAAGGTCAATAAGCAACACGGAAAACTTAATATGAAGTAGACATGAGAATTCCATCACAGCGATTAGTGCCTCTGGCAAAGTGCAGGACACACTGACACTGCTGAATCAATTCATAAATATCACATTTCTGGTGTGTAAGACACTCACCAGCTAAGAGGACCTTTCACTAAATGCCACCTGGACTTTTGACTTTTTTCATTCACCTAATTTGTAAATCTTTCCTTGTGGTGTTTCTTGTAAAATTGGATACAGTCTCTGAATTTATTCCCTTTGTGGAATGTCTTCACTGACATTCCTTAGATGTTCCAGGGTATTAGTCATATATTTAATCTTATTTAAGCAGACATAAGCTGATTGATTACTGAATGCCACGGATACTTAATTAAAATTGCTTGGGCATTTCATTGGATATTTTGTTCACATAAGCAGGATAACACACATCAATTTAATGTTAAAAACAAGTCACCCAAAATCATGTTGACCACATAAATATTAATATAATATGACAATCCGTTGGCAAATGGATCGTAGACCCTGGCTCAGCTTTATGTTAGATGCCTAGATAACTTGGCACAGAAGCTGTGACAGACAGGATGTATTGGTTGAAAGAGAAGGCAGATACCTAAATGGCTGTACGATGACAACAGGATGTGATTTGGAAAGAATGTCGGGAGGGAACAGGAAGGTCAATATTACAGTAACAGAATATGACCTTGGGGACAATCCTCTTACTATTGAAGCTTTGCAACAGTGACGTGTCCTAAAACCCGGAAGTAAGTTAGCATTTTACCACTTCCGGTTCTTTCGACAAAAAAGTAATGCAATTTCTCCATAGGATTTTGGAAAATAGCTCAAAATAAGGTCTGTGGTTGACACACATTTAAGAGACGGATCACGTTTTGTTCTACGACATTAAATACATCAGCAGTGACCCCACTGGTGATTTTTGAAGAGTTTACTTGTCTGAAAAACGATGGTTGTTAACAAGTGGCTGAATAGGACTACAGAAGTTGTCGAGGCCGTTTTACGTCATAACACCGAACACGTAAACAC